ATTTTACACGGTGATTTATTTCATTAATTCATTGTATAGTTTATGTAGAATCATGAAGATAATGGGGTCTGTTGAATAACATAAATTATGAAATTATTTGATCATTCTAAATAAGTAATTAATTAACGGCAGTATATTTAAATACAATAAGTATGTCATTTTATTTGTCATTTGATGAACGCTATATTTTATAGTAAATTAATTCTTTAGACTATGAGGATATTATAAGCATTTTATCAGAATGTGTAATAGTTTTCAAGAATATAGGTATATTGCAAAAATTGATAAGTACGTTTTGATTGTTTTATGATACATATTTTTTTGTATAGATTAAATTGTTTAATATACAAGATTATCTAATTCACGAATTGTATATGATAACTGTAAGTTCGGCTGTAACGTTTAAATTATGTGCAAGTAGTTATAAAAATTTTTTTGAAAGATATGTATTTTATGTGTGTCTACTAAAAAGTGTGTTTTCGTTTTGATAATCCAATTTGATTTACGATATTTAAGTATTTTTTTAAAAGAATGTTCAAATTATTTATACATCGTAATCCTTTTGAAATTTTGGATTAAAAGTCGCCTTTTTTGCCTTTGTTTCAAAAGAAATGGGGTGCAGGGTGTTAAGTTGATTTTATTCTTCGTGATATTCTTAATGAAAGGTTTCAATGAAAAGAATTAATTTCTATCAACCGTAGATCGCTTCCTGTATATATTCCCTTATATTTCCATTTATTATTATTATTATTATCTATTAATGAAGTCAAAGCTTTCAGTGCAAATATCAACAGAATAATGTCTGAGGATTTTGAATGTATGTCAAGCAGTTTTTAAATGTGTATGTGTAAAGAATTCCCTCCCCATTAATCATCTACGACGGAAGTATTTATATTTAAAAAATGTGCTTTATCTGCACCAAGGGTTGTGCATAATTCTTGATGATTTTGAGAATTACATTAAATTGAAAACAGTGTAATTGGAGTATCAAACAGTTTTTTTAAGTTAATTGTTTTGCGTTCCTCAAACATTCAAAAAGATAGATTATAAGTATTACAATGGCACAAACTTATAGTTTAACTTTTTGGTAACGTTACAAATTTTTAGTGTAGATACCTTCTTGAAACCTTTCATGAATGTAAAAAATTAAAGAATTAAAAGCATTAACGCCATTAATTGTCTTGTTAAATTAAAGGTATTTTGTTGTGTTAGTCATTGAAATTTAATTATTATTTTACAAGAAATTATAATTTAAGTTTTCACATTTTCCTTCAAAAAACAAATATAAGATGATGGAAGATAAATTTGTGATAATTTTAGTAAAACGCCTAATCTTACGACTCGCTCGGTATAATGTGTTTTTGTGTATGTAAATGTATATGATCTATGGTTTTTATCGTTTGCAAGACTGGTTATCGTTTGTTTTGGAACATTTTTAAAATTTTCTAATTTTTTATAAGTAAGTAGTATTTTATTTTATACCTATTATGTAAACAAAATAATTGCCCGTGGTAAAAGATAATAAAAGTAATGTTTCCATTATTATAAGATTAATACAAACATTTCAGTGTATGTATTATTCCAAGCTTTGGATGTGAACCAACTGATATTATTGCACAGAACATTGTAAAAACAGTGATGGTTTGTAACAAATGAATTAGGTGAAGCATATTCTAACGATGGTTAGATGTGTATTTGATAAATGTATCTAATGCCCGTTTGCATCGACAAATTTAAGTGGAGCTTAGCTTAAGTGTTACTTAAAATTCATGTCAACAATTATTGAGACAATGGTTGTCGTGGATTTTAAGCTAAGTTCCGCTTAAATTTGTCAGTGCAAATGGGCATAAGAAGTATTAGATCGCTGATTAACAATTTTTTGTATCTTGTTAGTTTTTTCTTGTTCTCAATATTCTCACTTTTCGTTGTTTAGTAATTTCTATAGCAACACAGAAAATTTATGATTCGCCAGGGAAACTACGTTATTGTGGTATGACGTGTGTTGGTGATGTCCTCAATTTTAGAAACAGTGGGTAAAGGGTAAAGTTGGGTGCAATCTTCTATAGTTTAAACAATGTTTCTTTGTGAGGATATTTTATACTTTGTTTCCAGTTTTTTTGAGGCGAGCAAAATTTTGTAACCGTATAATCACAACTAACGGGTGATCCAAAATGAGTGGTGGTCGAGTCGCCTTTGGAAGTTAAATTTAAGTACGATTACCTATACAAATAAAAATTCCAAAGGTAACTCGACAGCAATTCATTTTTGATGGCATAGTACATGTGCGTATATTATAATATGAATCAACAACCCGCTACATATCATTTACTTACTACCCGACATCCAGTGATCCATTGAATGTGACCTAGTGAATATCCATTTTTTAGTAGTTAATCCGAAGCCGAATAGCTTCAGTAAATAGCATGTTTAAAATGATGGGTACTAGATATTATAACACAATCTCCATTATTTAGTATTGGAAGCATTTATCTAGATCCTGTATTTAAACTAAGAAAAATTCCTTTATAGTTTTGTATTTTAGTTTTAAATATTCTTCTTCTGATATTTTAAACGTAATATTTTAATGTATAGGGTGGTTCAAATTTATTTCATTGGAATCTTTTTAACTGTACAGATTACAGGATAGGTTAAATGGGGACAAAGTTGAATTTTTTCGTAATTAATAAAAACTGTGACTGAAAAATTAAAAATTTTAATTTTGTATTTTTTGGAACTTTTTTCGCAGAATTTTTTATTAAGATTGACACTAATATATTACGAATGGTCCAGTTTCTTTGGTATATCATACATTCTTTGTGTCGTTATTAATTCGTAGTGTTATTACGTTTTTGGAGTTGTGTACTTGTAAAAAGAAATCCAATATATATGATATACTTAATTAAAGGTTTTTTGGTATATGGTCTTCGTTTGGCATACTGAGATTGTAGTATTAACTCAGTAAGTAATGGAACACATATTGAGTGATAGACTTTTTTTTCAATTTTTTTTATACTAAATCAAAATTTAGTTAGTAATATGTACCTATATGCAATGTTTCTAATTTTTTTTTTTATTAGATATGACTACATTTTTTGGTTTGGGTGCGAGTATTTTGAGAAGAGTGTTAGTAGAAGGTCAGGGAGACTCTGCTAACCGAATTCATGGTAAGCTCGTCGTTGACTTGTGCATTGGCGGGCAAACGGTTTCCCAATTAAGAAAAAGAGTCGAACGCTCACGAAGTGATGAATCGGAATGGTTTGTGCCTAGAAATACGCCCCTGGTCGTTTTGATAGGAACCAAAGATATTTTAAGAGGTGGCAGAGCTTCTATTGCCTTTAATAATTTTAAACGGTTATTAAGTACATTGGAAAAGTGGTCGAGGATAACTCCCATCATATTGTGTACTCTTCCTCCAATAAAGCATGCAAGTCCTGATGTTCGACATCAGTTGCATAAATACAACACGTCGATTAGAACATTGTGTTCTAATCGATGTGATGTATTTAGGCTATTGGACGTGTATGCCTTATTGGATGCGGAGGATTACGAGGGCCACTTTTTTGAACGGTAAGTTTCATTATAATATATTGTTATATTTTAATTTGTTATTTTTAGTGACGGTGTTCATCCAAATAGAGAGGGGCTTTTGAGAATTTATGATTCCATAAGTTCCCTCTTTAATTAATCGGTCTTGCATGTTCGGTAAGTGAATTATTTTAATTGAAAAAATATAATAATTGTTTTATTAATTGTAGAGTACATGATAACCGTTTAGGATTATTTTTGGCGATGGAAGACTACCCTTTTTGAAAATCATTTGGTAAACAAAGCAGCTTTGATTCATTTGAATGATCGTTTTATTTTTTTGATTAATTAATTGTTTGAATTGTCATGAATTTGCTTCTCAAAATTATGAAGATTATTTTTTCCTTATTTAAGGTAAATAGTGCAATTGGTTTGCAATTATAGTTGCTCAATAAATATTTTTTTAGGTTTTCAAATAATGAAATTTATTCTCATGAAGTGGCTTATTATTATTCTTTTAAGTAGTATATGCAGAATGTTCTTTGGTTTACATTTATACTTTCATCAATTAAAGGAACACTTTTACCTAAGAATATGGTAGCAATACATTTAAATGTATCCTTGCACATTCGGTAAGTGAATTACTTTAATTGAAATAATATAATAATTGTGTTATTAATTGTAGAGTACATGGTAACCATTTAGGATTATTTTTGGCGATGGAAGACTACCCTTTTTGAAAATCGTTTGGTAAAAAAAGGAGTTCTAATTCATTTGAATGATCGTTTTATTTTTTTGATTAATTGATTGTTTGAATTGTCATGAATTTGTTTTTCAAAATTATTAAGATTATTTTTTTCTTATTTAAAGTAAATAGTGTAATTGTTGATTTCCTTTTAGTTGTATCACTTTCATCTAAGGTTATAGTAGTAATACATTTGAATACATCGATAATGAAATTGCTATGCATACTTAAAATCATTTTATTATTAGACCAATACTTAACATACCGACATAAAATATAAAGCCATTAACAATTACAGTAACAAAGTATGTTTTAAATGTAAGTAATATAATAATGTTTGTTTGTGATTGATAATTATTCTTGTAAATTTATCATTTTTAAACGATGTTGATTCTTCTTGGTAATTTAATATTGAAAAGTTGGATGTTGATCATATATGATATGATTATCGATGCTATTTGATATTTTGATTATAAATTAGTACTATTGAAGTAACATTTAAACTATTCCTTTTACGTACTGAAAAGTTATATTTTATAAGATTGATTAAGTAATAAATTGTAATTTAATAGTTATTTTGAAATTGTTTTGTTTGCTAAGTTTATTTGTATAATAGATTTTTGAAAAAAAAATTGTCTAACATTTAAATATGAATTTAAAATAAGGTAGAACATAGTATATTATAACAAATTATAATTTGCATTGATTATATTTTGTAGATTTTAAAAATAATTGCAATTGTAGATTTGGAAAAATTTACATTTTTGTGAATCTTTATATTGACAAATATGCGATGTTGTTTTCTCCCCAACTATAAATATACATACTAATTTCTGAGAAAGTCTAATTTTTTAGATTTTATCTAGAAAAATACCGATCACCTATGCTACTTTATTTTGGTTAAGAATCTGTATGAATTGGTATATTATTTATGGAATGTCATTAAAATGTAGTTATTTTAGATGAAAAATGTACATTTCCTTTTATAATGAAATATATGCTATGTATGGAAAAATAGATGTAAATGATATTCATCATCTAGAAAATGATTTCTAATGTAAATGTTTTTTAATTGAATAGTATTTTGAAAATTAATTCTTGGATTATAATATTTCACCACTTCTTTGGGAGTGGCTACCAAACGAAATACGTTGGACCCTCGGTTTATTTGCATGCGGTTATGTAACACCATGTATGTGATTTCTGAAAAAAGAAATAGTAGATAGGTATGTAAATTAAAACTTATTCTCTGCAATTTTTTTTTTTTTTTTTTTTAATGAGGGGAAAAACCTTCAGGAAGGCCTAGCTCTGAAATGGAATTTGAGCCGTGTGTGGGATTAACATTACCATTTATTCTTTAAAATATGAAAATATTATCCTTTTTTGAAGGCTTAAAATAGCGTGTATTTTTTTAATTTGTTGTTAAGATGTTCGCCCTAGTATCATGTCTCAATTTTATAAAAAAACTTAATTGTGGAATTTTTTACTTCAAACACTATTACCCTCTTTCGAAGGCTTAAAATAGCGTGTATTTTCTATATTTGTTGTTCATATGTTCGCCCTAGTATCATGTCTCAAATTTATTTAAAAAAACTTAATTGTGGAATTTTCTTCGTCAAACACTATTACCCTCTTTCGAAGGCTTAAAATAGCGTGTATTTTCCTTATTTGTTGTTAAGATGGTCGCTCTAGTATCATGCTTCAAATTAAAAAAAAAACTTAATTGTGAAATTTTCTTCTTCAAACACTATTACCCTCTTTCGAAGGCTTAAATAGCGTGCATTTTTTTAATTTGTTGTTAAGATGTTCGCCCCTAGTATGTCTCAATTTATAAAAAAAGTTAAATTTGAATTTTCTTCTTCAAACACTATTACCTCTTTCCTTAAAATAGCGTGTATTTTTATTTGTGTAAGATGTTCGCTCTAGTATCATGTCTCAAATTTATAAAAAAAACTTAATTGTGGAATTTTCTTCGTCAAACACTATTACCCTCTTTCGAAGGCTTAAAATAGCGTGTATTTTCCTTATTTGTTGTTAAGATGGTCGCTCTAGTATCATGCTTCAAATTTAAAAAAAACTTAATTGTGAAATTCTCTTCTTCAAACACTATTACCCTCTTTCGAAGGCTTGAAATAGTGTGGATTTTCATTGTTTGTTGTTAAGATGTTCGCTCTAGTATCGTGTCTCTTTTATTTATTAAATTATTTGCTTTCGTGTCGTGTTTAAAATGTTTTTCATTTGAATATATGTAACATTTATTGGCTTGTCTTACTGTACTGCTTTATTAGATAGTAAAACGCTGTGATTTTAGCATATTTTATGTAAGTTAGAAAAACTAATACTACTACTATTAATAATGGATATCAATTAATCAATAAAAGTGTAAAAAAATTAATTACAACTGATTAACAATATATAAATGTTTGTTACAAATAATAAATTTCAATTTATAAATTGTATATCTGTACATTTTAAAACATAAGCGTGCAAAAATAGTTTTTTTAAAATTGATAATCAGTTTAACCTTTTGGCATTTTAACATATATTACGGCGTATAGCATTTGAATATATTATTAGATACCTTTATTATTTATCGTCGTCTTTTTGGCGATTCGATATGTTTAGGATATCTTTTTTGTACTCGTGGCTAGCCTGTTAATATGTTCGTTTGCCGGTTAGTTTTTTTAAACAAATGTTTATGCACAACTTATACTATACAATATACAGTATTTTGAAAGATTAAAAAAAAATGTTTTGTTATTTTCTATATGAATGTTATTTGCACAATATGTAAAAATTTTAATTTGATCAAAAAATAACTAAGGAATAGGACTTATTTGAATTCATTTTTGTACAGAAAGAATTGCCAATAGATATCATATTTTTATCTAAATATTTCTTTAGCGACGATGTTTTTAACCTTGTGCGGTTTTTTCTCATTTGGTGGTAAATAAATTTTAATGTCTGATTTTTTTCTGACTCTACTCATGGCTACGTATAATTGACCGTGACTAAATAATGGAGTGTTTAGATATAAACCAACTTTGGCGACTGTTTGTCCTTGTGCTTTGTTTATGGTCATAGCGTAAGCCAATTCTACTGGAAATTGCATTCGTTGAAAATGCAATCCTGTTCCGTCGAGGCGATCATCTTCATATACGAATTTTAATACTGCCAAAACGCAAGTCTTTCCTCGATGCGGTCCTATTGCTATTTTACAATGTAGCAGGTGTTCACCTAAACGTGTTACGATTAAACGTGTACCGTTTGATAATCCTTGTCTTACGTCTATGTTTCTTAATAAAACTACTATCGCATTTTCCTTTAATACTAGTTTATGAGGAGGAAAATTTGTTGGATTTTCTTCGTGTAGCGAAGACACGTCGTTAATGGCCGCATATACGTCCAATGCCGGATTGTCTACGAGCGATTTATCTGCAGATAAATATACTTTTTCTTCTCCGGGAAGCATATTTAAAATTTTTGAATTTAATTTTCTAACGTCTGCGCGTCTGGCACTTAAAAGCAATTTTTCCACGGCGTCGTTTCTAAGCAAGGCTTCGTTGTTTTCGAAAACAAATTTTATAAGTTCGTCTTCACTTTCTATCAACATATCTGCGGGGACTTGGAATTCTCCAGTACCGTCTGTATCTTTGCCTATACGTTCTAATATTTGATTAAATTCTATTTCGTTTTCATTTACTCGCATATTTCTAATTAACGTTATTTTGTGAAATGCGGCGAACAGTTCGGAATTTTTTATGGAACTTTTAATCTGCTCGTTTATATCTGCAAATTGTACTACTGGTAAGAGCAGTTGCCAATCCCCTCCTAATAAAACGATCTTACCACCGAAAAGAAGCTTTGAAAGATTTATATGTGCAGCATGTTTGCACGCCTCGTTTATCATATTAAGATATTTTCGATGTAGCATGCTAATTTCGTCTATGATTATTAACTGCGTTTTTCTTATTCTTTGGGTTATAACGTCATTCCACCGTATGGGTGGTACGTAATCTGTCCCTTTCGAAACGTCAGTGGGCAAATGAAAAGCGTTATGAACGGTCATACCGCGAGGTAAAAGTTGTGCGGCCGCGCCAGTTGACGCTGTAACAATGGCATACTTTTTATACCTAAAGAATATATCTATGATAGTTTTATAGACAAAAGTCTTTCCTGTGCCGCCGGCCCCATTTAGGAAAATCAGCCTAGGCGTGGAATTTAGTTTATCATCTGGCGTAGATTCTACAGCTTTTATTATTAAATCGACAACGATTTTTTGTTCTACGTTTAGTTTTAAGTAAATCGGCAAATTTACGTAATTGCTAATGTTTTCATCTTCAATATATTCATTGGGAGCTTGCGATGGTAATTCGTTTGTATCGTCATCTCGATCGAAGATATCAGTTTCGCCAAAAAAGAATTCTCTTTCATCGTCACAGATTTGTTCGTAATTTTCGGGCATGGGAATATTAAAATCTTTATTCGTTTTCCAATTGTGACTTAAAATACGATTCAAAGAACAAAGGGCAATGTTTATTCTTCTCGATTTTTCTGCATCATCGTTATCGCGCAAATTACGAGTATCGTACATAAATGGGAGGAATTCGTTCCAAAGTGCTAATGGATCGGATACGTGTCCCCATACTAATATTTGTGCGAATAAATTGCGCATCATTTTCGGATAACCAACATTACTAGCTTCAAAAAGTGTTCTGCGCCAAGTTTCTATGTCGTTCAGTAAACCCATTATTTTTGCGCAATCTACAAAGGTTTCGCATGGTTCTACGTAATTTGTTGGAGTGCGTAAATTATCCCATCCTGTTGGACCTTTACGACACAGTAAAAGTTGATATATTGCAAATTTTTCTGTTTGATTGGGTGGAACCGGATATAAACGACCTATTACGTTTACCATTTTTTTTCGTTTTGTCCAACGATTCGTTTTTTTGTTAAACCAATAAGTTTCCGGTAATTGAGGAAACGTTAAGTTTCGCATTTCGTTTATTTCATGTTGAGATTCTTCTAAACATTGCAAGAAAAACATTTCCAATTGGGACAGTTTGGTATTATTGTCCAAGACTTGTGCGGCAATTATTTCTTCGTTACCACGTCTATAATATAAAGGTCCTTCTCCGGGCATATGAACGTTAAGTCGATATACTGTGTGCGATGATCTAATTATTCGCCACTTGTTTAATCTAGCGTACGCTTCCGGAGCCGAACGATAATAACCTTTCATTAGTCCTACGGATTCGTCGTAGTCGACAATATCACTATTTGTTTGGGCAATTCGAACGTAAGCGTAATTACCCATTTTAAAATTATATTTAATTGCATATTTACAACTTTGAGTTCCGTAACAAAACTCGATGTTATTGTGCGCATGCCATGCCAAAAGATAAGCAGGATTCTAAGGAACAACAGAGGCATTCGTAATTATATTTCCGCCAGGTGTTTTGTAAGTTTCTCCTCCGTTTTCAGGCGATCTTCGCTTGTATATTGCGGGTCTATCTTCGTACGTTATAGTGGAATTTGAAAATTTTTTTGGAAAACCTTTCGAACATTTACCACTATCGTTAAGACAAATAGTATTACAATTGTGAATTTGAAACTTTATCACTAGCTCTCGTAATTTTCTACTCATTTCTGCTTCGTCACTTTTATCGTTTGCGTCGGGTAATTTAGGTATTTCTGCGGATACGTATTCATCTACGTACTCGGGAGAATTTGGACAATCTAAGCTAATTAAGCGATGAGTGTGGGGTCCGCCTCTCTTTTGAAATTCTAAACTTTCGATAAATGCTTTAACTTTACCAAATATATGACCTTTTTCGATAAGCTTTCGCATTTTTTCAATTTTTACTAGAAAGACTCTACATATAATATCAGGGCGATCTGTAATATATTGATTTTTTAATAAATGTTCTTTTACTTCGTTCCACGAGGGGTTGCACGTGGTGGCAATCATAAAGGTCGGACGACCAATGCGGTTAAACAGAGCCGTGGCATCGTGAAAGTGTTGTTGATACCACGCAGGAGAACCTACCATTCTAGGAGATAATCGTAAGACTTTTCCTAATTTTTTTCCTTCGCATAATTTTTGTAAATCTCTATCCAATGCCATGCGTACCTCGGGAGCAGTGGTACAAAATGTATCGTAATTTTTCTTAATAAATTCGTGCACTTGCTGATCGGCTTTGATGCTCTGATCGATAATATATTCTTGTGTGATACTACCGAAGGGATATAAAAAGTGCGTAGCTCCTTTATTATCACCACGAATTGCTAAGTGAAATCTATAAAAATCTCTTACGGATACGTGGTTTTTGTGCTCAACTTCATCTATTTCTTCGTCGTAAACGGCGTTTGGCGAACAACCGAGATCATTTTGTTCAGCTGAAGTAATTGTACGTTGATTTGGCGTATTCCGTTTTTTAACTTTTTCTATACCTGGATAATATCCAAAATCACCGTTCGCCAAGTTTAAAACGTAATGCAGGCAATCGTTTAGTCGATCATAAAGTGGAAAACATATTACTTGCCCATTTTTCTTTTTTAACCAAGTACCATAGCGATATACCGGTTCGTCGTTTTCGTTACTAACATAAAAAGCGCACAATTCTTTTACTTGTGGTAAATTAACTGCACGTGGATGTAAACCGGGATCAATTATTGCGTCAGGAACTTGTCTCGGATTTACCAAGACTAATGTGACATGTTGTACTTCATCAAACCCTTGTCTTTGCACATCGGCCGATGTTTCCATATAGAGTTGGTGCATTATATTAAACGCTTCGCAAAGCGGATGGTGTTTTTGTAATATAGTGAACAATTTTTGTAATATTTCCCGTTTAATGCCGAATTTTGTAGACAGCGGATTTTGAGCTACCGAATCTTGCATCATCATCGGATCAAGCATGTACAATTGACCGTGTACTGGCGTTTTTCCGTCGGGTGCAAACAGGGGACTTATGTTTCGTTTAATTTCGCCATTAATTAGCATAACCGGTGGACCTTGTCCGGGTGCCTTTTTTCGACCCGCTTCTATACTACCAAAACTTAATAGCATGTTATAAATTCGGAAGTACTGTCGAAAATGTTTTCCGTGTACGGGATCGTCCATTAACTTTCGAATATCTTCGGGAACCGGTGAAATTGCAGGTAACATAACAGTACCGTGATTACAACATATAGCGCTAGTTTCATCTTTAAACAAAAGTGCCTTGCAATGTTTACATATTTGGTCACCTATTTTTCCACATTCGAGATAGTCGATTGAATGTTTGGCACTTTTTGCAAAACAACCGTAAATACCGTGAGTTCTTTTACAATATTTCATAGGTTTTAGTTTATTTTTATTTGATTTTCTAGATGCACTGTAGTTAACCGTGCTTCTTGTGGATCTCGTTGATCTTCTACTATTAGAAGAAGATGTAGATACAATACTAACGTCGGAATCAGATTCGATAGGTGTGCCTTCGCAAATTTCGACGATTTCGTTATCATTAATTTCAATTTCGTTGAAAAGGCAATCGGATCGGGTTTCGTAGGAAGGTATTTTCTCATTATATAATTCTAGTAACATACCGTTAATTCTTTGGCGTTCTGTCGCGATGTTAAAATCGGACAAAAGCATACGTTTTTCATTCATCAAATATGTCTCAACATAAACACATACATAATATCCACAGTTATATGAATTCGTTTGTAAATTGTAAGTTTGTTCATTTGCAACTTCAATGTATATTCACTGTTTGTAAGAAATGACGAATCCAATACTTGAATTGCATTTTTTATAGAAACAAAATAATTACTATTGTCCTTTAATCTATTGTCATTAGGAAGGGGATCATAGAATACAGTTTTACTTCCTCGTTCGTGAATAATTAGTGCAAAATGTCCGGGAAAGTAAATCGGAATGAATAATACTTCATAATTATGTGGATTTCCCCAAAGTCCTTCTGTAGGGGAAACGTTTGTTTTCTTATTATATATGGATACAGTATAATTAATATTAAGTAGAAGAGATTTTGTTCTATTATAGGCTAGGTATGTAACGTACATTAGGTAACCATGTAAATTGTTGATATTCATTTCGGATTTGGGATTTTGATATGATTCGATAAATCTAATCGAGACAATGTATAATATTCTTTAGACAAGGGGTACGTTATGGCGGCTACATTCGGTGGTACATTCAAAGGGCAATCGACGTTTTTAGTTGAAGTAATTTTAAGATTTGCCATTAATTCATCTCCTAAAGCGTCAAAAATTTCAGTTTCAATTTTATTTGCCGTTTCAACGTTTGAGGTAACTTTGTGATGACTACTCGGTGGTGGCATCATCGATTGCGAAAGAGTCATAATATTGTCGTTTATGTCCATAGATTCGTTAAGACAAATTTTTTTTTGAAGTGGTACATTTTTTTCTAAGTTAGAAACGTTGTCTTTTTTGCATCTTTTAAAATTTCTACAATACTTTTACCTTTTTTTTTCCCCTGCTAAGTTTCTTTGATTGTGATGATTGGATTTTATGACAACTTGCTATAGCTTCGTATATGGGCACTCTTTCATGACACAATTCCATTATTATACGATTTATTCTTTGACGTTCGTTTACAATATCTAAATTGGTTAGGAACATATGTTTGTCATTCATGAGATAAGATTCCACGTATAAAGATACGTAATATCCACAATTGTAATTGCCGTTTTTGTCGACGCTTTGTTTATATTAATTAGACATACTTTTCGCTTATTTTGTGTAATATAAGCTATATACATTAAATATCCAAATAAATTATTGACATTTATTTCCGATCTAGGATTACTGTAAGCTTCTAAAAAATCAAAACTGGAAAGTAAATAAAATTGTTCGTGTACATAATGAGACGTAATATCATTGATAGTATTTGGAATTTTTAGATTAACGTTTTTTGTCGAGATTTGTAAATTCGGTATCAATATATTACTTAAAATATTAATTTTTTGTTTAGTTGTTCTATCATTTATATTAGAATTTTGGGCATTCATATTTTCAATACTTACATCACTCTGTGATACATGTACCTTTTTTGCGGTGGGCTGCTTAACTTACACTCCACATCATCTTTCAGTTTCGAATTTATGGGCCGAATATCATTAGGTATTGTACTATGGGCGGATCTTTTTTGTGTTTTTGTTTGACTCTAAAATAAGTACAAAAATTAGAAAAAAAATTAAGAATATTAAACAAACATTGGAGGGTGTATTTTTTTTTCATTTTCACTATAAGATAAAATAAAAATAAATCAATTCAACTTTCAAATCGTCCAGTTAAAATTAATGTGTGAGTAGTGAATATTATAGAATACAGCACACTAAATTACTCTATTAGTTTATCACTACATGTTAGTATCCTAATATCTTCGGGGTTTAAGAAACCTACCTGTTAATTTGTTTTATTTTGATGTAGAATATCTAGCTAGATATTCCAGCAAACAATGATCGGGCCAATGCAAAAAAAATATATGGTGGCCGATGTTGGCCATAATGGCATAGTGTTGGCAATTGGCATTGGGCCAGTACCTATAGGTCACTCTGGCCAGCAGCCGGCCAGAGATGATTTGCCATCATGGCATAGTATTGGCCACTGTATTGGCCCAACACTTATTTTTTATGATGGCCAACATATGGCCGCATGACTTGTTACCTTAACGGTAGTTAGCTGGCCATTGATATTGGGCTGATATCTACAGCTGACTTCAGTCAGTTGTTGGTTAATGGAAAATGTATTCGAATTATACTGCAATAAAACTATAGAAAAAAGGTTGTATATTATTACATAAGTATAAGTTTAAAAAACAGAATACAAATACATAAAACATATTTCTGAATCTACTTAAAACTATTAAATGTAAAAAAACATATTTACAAGAATAAATCAACTTATACACAAAACTATATACAAATATTAGTTTGAATTATTTTTTGATTCAGTACGACGCTTACTGCGACCTCCATGTCGGTCAGCCGCAGTGCGAAGCCAAACTTTGATGACTCCAGTAACATCATATTGTGTAGCATTTCTGGTGATGGGGTTCTTCTGAAGAACAGCTGTAAATACATTTGCATGTTAAAAACAAGAATAAAATATGTGTACTCGCACTTACCAAGAATTAACTTCAGAATATTTACATACTGCATAAAACCATCTTTATTGTTACGCCCGGACCAATTGCACTCCAAAGCTAATTCATGACATATAATTTTGGACATTAATGTTCTGGTAAAGTCGGCCATATCTTTTCCACCGATGCCCAGGAAAGACGAAATCTGAAACAAGAACAGACAATGAATATAAATTACTAATTAAAAACAAACGTATACAGTGCATTTTTTTTTCAACCAAACATAGCATTTTGAGTACAATGTATAAATATATCCAGTTGAAAAAAAATGTCAATGTGAACAGAACAGAAAATTCAAATTATTAACTGTTATAACAGTAACAATAGTTTAAAAAGTGCGAGATGAAATGACGTAAAATAATTAAAGGATGGTAGACAAAATTTGTGCATTGTTGGCAGCTGATTTAGTTGTGAACTAGTCTATTCCATACGTTGATTTGCTAATCATTCTTACTACTGTAATGCATTGACACGATTTTTTTCAACTGAAGGGATATATGCATTGTAAGCAAAATGCATGTGCGGATGAAAAAAAACGCACTGTATGGACCTTCATTGTAGAATTGCGTACAGATGTATATGTATTTCGAACAAGTAAACAAATTTTACGATTATATTTGTTAGATAAACCAACTGTAATGCCATTACGCCACATACAATAAGATCAAACAGGTATGTATTACCATGCAATAAATGTGTAGTAAAAATAAAGCTAAAATAAATTTGCAACTAATGAATCTGTAGCTTATATTTTTAATATTTACCATAGATTGAAAAAATTCTTCTTCCTGTAACTCTGTTTCAAATTGTTGCAATGAAGTATAGTTAGTGACTGGCAGTTTTTCCATGTATAAATTTTCTTTTTCTGGTAGGGAAATTGATTACCTCTGCATTGTTTGCATCACAAATTGGAGGTCTTTGGCCAACAATTCGGTTTTTGTTGCCAGTTGTAAAGCTATTTCTGAAAATTTGCCATTGTTATAGGAATCCACATTGTGTATGACTAGAGTATTTAACTTACTGTTTGTCCGTTTGCAATAATTTAAAATTTCATCCAGTCGAGCATCAAGTTGTGATGAAGGTGGCGTATTGGTTAATGTCATGTCAAGTTGTGGTTCTTGTTCTTCCCTGAACGATTGGGGCGGTGGATGGTAAGATGATGATAATCTAGACGAACGCGAGGACGAAGATGACTCATTCCTATTTCTATGTTGAGGTCTGCGTATATTAGGGATTTCATCGTCTGAGTCTATATTTTGAGAATCTTCAAAAACATATTGTTTAAGAATGGATGAAGGCTTCGGTTTTCTTTTGGTAGTTTTTTCTACGTCAAGGTCCGAATAGGCTTCACTTGAAGTCCCATCTTCTAATTTTTTTAATTTTTTGACAGCCTTTTCGTATAGATCTAAAACACAAATGATATTAAAATCGATACCTACATACTATATGTAGTATGTTCAGACTTTACAGCAAAACTACAACTATGTACAAAATTTAAATGTATAACATATTTTGATTTATAGTTGTCATCATTGAAAAGTTTACAAAAAATCAAAGTTTTCATAATACCACTTACTTGTCTTATATTTTATGTTAATTTTACATTTGATACAATTTCTGTTTTCAAACTGAAGCTTCTGGATAACAGCTTTTCTCTTTTGTTCCTCCGATTTAAAATTAGGCCACCAACAGAACTTCTCTCCATTTAATTCTACGTCTGTCCATGATGATGGGATAATGCAAAGAGGAACTGACCCCTTATCTTTTTCATCGGGAAACTCAACCACGTAGTAGTCTCTAACAAAAAAATAACAATAAATATATAGTAAACTTATATAAATATATACGTACATTAATACAATTCCCTTGCCTTTAATATCTTCTAATTTACAAGCTATATATAAACTCATCACTTTGAATTTCAATTGTTTGTAAATTAATAAATTTAGAGTCGGTTGGATAACCAATAAATGAATTAACAAACTTATATTGTTTGCCAATACATACACATTGCTCATTCTTCTCCATAATGTAAACAATTTTCAATATTGTATCACATTGCAAAATAATCATGTTATCACCTGGCTTGTTTGAAAAGATGTTGTTCTTATATACAATTTGCCTTCTTCAATTAAATGTTTTGTATTCTTGTAAAATAAGTGGCATGGAACCTTTAATATGTACTATTGAACCCAGTGATAATATCTTCTGATCACCCAGTTTATTTTCATGGAGTTGTTTTAGTTCGAAAATTCTCCTGACCACTTGTTGCAAAGGACAATTGCTTTTTCTCAACAATCGCTTTAAGATTTGTAAGTAGTTTTCAAACGGAAAACAATTAACATCATTCAAGTTGTACACTTGGGCTTCTTCCACAAGATGAACTAATGTATGAACATTATATATGTTACGGTTAAAGTATTTACATGTATATATATATATATATATATAGTATACAAACTATACAACTGCCTGGTTATTTTGATGAAAAATCATATTTTCACTAAAACAGCTACGAGTAATGGCTGGTTTGTATACTATCCAGCTAGTTTATAAACTATACAAAATTTATCGCTAAAACACAAACCACAATGAAATTAGACAAATTAGCTAGCATTTTTCGCTAGTTTGTAAACTATCCACATTAGTTGGATAAAGTGTGAACCTGATATTGGTAGTAATACATAATAACCAACGAGTTTGTTATTATGTATTACTCAACAAACTAATCAGTTCTCTTGGGTTAATTTAGTTTAAGATAGTAAAATCCTTAGTCAAAAATGGTTTCTTTATTGGTACAATGTAAGATTGTTACAGGTACCTATTATTACTTTAGAAAAAGTAAAAGAAATATAACTCAAATAATACCAGGTGACAAAATATTAACAATAAAGTATGTCGGGACATTAAAACCACCAAACAAAGAACAGTATTATTTGTTGGAGCAAGTTGCACTGTTGTGGCACTTACTATTACACGTATATCCAGACGCAAGGCATTTACACTTTTTACTCGCACAACTCTTCTTGCAGTGACATCGCACATATCCTTGGGTTGAACCCGATACTGAAAATTTTCCTGCAGCGCTTCGTAATGTTATTTCGGTGTCCGTCTTGACATTTTCCAACTTTAAAAATTGTTGCTTACATATTTCAAATTCGTTGCGGGAATAAAGCTGTTTAAGAACACCGTGAACAGTTCCAATTCGGTAAAATTCATCTTCTACACTCATTATGACGCCCAATATATTTCTATGATCTGACCGACTTCGATCTACATCTGGAATGGGTACTCTCACGGACATGCCGACAGCTCCTGGTTTAAATTTCTTGCGAGAAGTTTGTAGCATTTTTTGTGCTTGCCTTTTTAGACTTTCCTGGCATGAATCCCTTATAGCTTTAATATTGTTTTTATTCTGACAATGGTCACACACGTTTTCATCAGAACATAATAAGCATTTTTGTGGTAATGATTCATTGAGAGCATTTTCTGTTGTTTCAGTAGAGAGCAATGCCATTGCTTGTTCTTTAAATAAAACCGAGGTTCTATTGTTAACTTCGAGTGAAACTGGGGTTTCAGTATTATTTTCGGGTAAAACTGGGGTTTCGGTATTAAGTTCGAGTAAAATTGGGGTTTCAGTATTATCTGCGAATACAACTGGCCTATGAGTATTATCGGGCAGCATAACCAGCGTAGCATTTTCAATTAAATCTAAAAGAAATTAGGTTGCATTGTGAAATAATGTGGAAATACTTTCTAGATACGTACCAGACAATTGTTGGGCGGCCATTTCCTCTTCAGTGACTGTAGATTTTTCATCGGGTACAAAATTATTTGAAGGATGTGAATCTTCTTCCACTTTATCCTCGGTGTCATTACTAGAAGATAATAATGTTTCCAGTTCCTCTTCTGTACGTATGGATTTAATGTTTGTGATAGAAACAGGGAGGTTATTTAAACCATCTCTACATTTTACACCATATAAAGCTTCATAAGGACTGCGTCCAATACCAGAATGAAAGCAGCTACAAAAAACAATGAACTGAAGTAAAACGTAACTTATACAAAGAAAAACACAGTTTCTTTTCTTAAATTTCAAAATACTAGCTTACTCACCGATTTTTTTGAAATTGAACGATTTTTAAACCTTCGCTCCATTTTGTCGAGTTATTATCTTTCATCCACGACGCTAACTTGTTCTCTATATCTTGGTTCGCCCTCTCCACTGAACGTTGTGATTGTGAATGTCTCGGTTTACCATGCACAATATGGCAGTCAGGCCACATTCCGACTAATTCCTCAATCACCTAAAAAAATCAAAATGTATTGATTTTGTTTTATTTCATCTATAGCAGCAACATTTAGGGAATTTGAAATAAAGGACATGGCACTTCAAATTCAAAATCTCAACTTTGGGCCCATTTTTCCGGTACACCCAGTAGAGCTAGGGCTTTAGCGCAAAGGAAAAAGATCTTTTGATGTCAGCTACAACATATCAAAAATACAGGAGGCCAAAATGCCCATAAAAAGTGCCATGTCCTTTCTAGCGTGCCTTTTACCCTAATACCCACCTGGTTTGCAAATTCTCGGCCATTGTCGCTCTGCAACACGCAAGGGATTCCTAAGTCTGCAAATACTTCTAATAGGTGCTCAGCTACTTCTTTAGTTTTCATTGTTTTTAGCGCTCTCAACCTGACGTATTTGGTTAGGTGGTCTTGGTAGACAAAAATAAATTTGTAGTCACCATCTGGTCTAGTTTGTAAGTCAATGAGATCGATTTGGCATCGAGAGTTTAAATGGTTTGAAACAATTGGTTTAACAACAATTCCCTTTTTAGTTTTGTTCCGTTTAAGCTGACAATTTTCACAAGTTTCAATGAACAATTTTACCATTTCCTGTGTTAAGTTGTGATACTTTTCGTTTGTTGTTGCTTGACGCCCTCCATGTCCAGTTCCCTGATGGGCAGCTTTAATCGCATCATAACATTCACTAAAACGTAAAATAATCTTTCCAGATCTTCTATGTAGAATTACATAAGATGATTCGATTCTTTGTAAATCATAAGTATTTATCACATGATAATCACTCTTGTTACTACTGTCAGGTCCAGTTTCGCGTATTCTTTTGATACGTTGCAAAAGTTCACTATAATCGCTATCATTCATTAATTTTGAATTTTGCGACTTTTGGTCATAAACTTCTAATAATAGGTTTTCAAATTGTTGCTGTTGATTCATTTTTAATAACCCGATACCTATTATTAAACAAATTTCACGAAACACAACTGTACACCGTCACAGCACACAACACTTGACGAAACATAACCCCACTAAATTACCCAAAGAGAATTGGTTGGTTTACAAAATAACCAACTCGACTTTGCTCAAGACGAGCAACAACATCTTTTACAACCTCCTTATTAGCAATCATTAAGCAGCCAGGTGACTTTCCAGAAGCAAGACTTCCTGTATGTGAAACCGTTCAAGTAAACGACAAGCATTTCGGCGTATATTGTTGTAATCCTCGTCACGGTTGACAATCGTTTATGGAAACTCCTGTATACACAAACGTATCGAGTACTCCCAAACTCCACTTTCGTCTTTAGTTCCATTACGGAAACAGAACTGCAAACGCATCTTATTCTCTTCTAAGAAGTAAAAGGCTTGTCGAAGTAAACCTATTGCCTATTACACGCCACAACTAAAAAAAACCTTTGTTTGTAATTTACAAGTAATTTACCCACCTTGTAAATATTCGAAAGAAACTGGTAGTCTTGAAAAAAGCCGTGTTGAAAGGGACGATAGTAATAAGAATCACAAATTAGGAGACCGGGGCACAATAAAACAAAAAAAATTATATTGGGTCTATTAAGGCCAAATTTAAATACAAATGAAAAGTTGAGTTGCCACTTCAATCCTTATTATTGTTTGTATCTAATCACGGTACAACAATTAATATATTGTTTTTTTGCAATGATTAATTTATTGTTAAAACAATGGGTATCCTTTGTTTAATGAAACTATGGGTGGGTCACAATGAAACACCATGTATTTTTGTCAATTTTAGTCGTTTTATGATAAAAATAAAATAACAAGTCAGTGAACATTTAGTGACCCAAACGTCATTCCAAATTTCATGTATGACTTCTGACGATTGGTTTTTCCTAAGAAAGTTGGTTTCGGCAAAATTTGCTTTATTGCAGTTAATCTTACTAGTGATATGTCTGCAACTTGCGGCTTGTAGAAGTGATCGCTTATTTTGTCACTCTTCCTCAAGAAATCAATTTCAAATTCATTATTTTCATCTTTATCCGCGATAATTTCACCAACATACAATACTTTGTTCTTTCCAGTCATGAACTCTACAAGAACGTAGTCGCCTCTGATTGGTTCGACTTGCAAGTCTTCAAATTCATAATCATCATTTAAAACTTCTTCGATAAACTGCTCACTAGTGTCCGACTCCTGAAATTCTATTTCGCCATCTGATGATTCTTCGGAAGACTGGTTAGTAATTGGTACAAGTTTTCTAGTAACAGCCCTTTTCTTTGCCGGATTAACTTTCATATTTTCCCTTTCTGCTATAGCATCCTTTTCAGGAGTGGAAGTTGCTATTATGCTTTTTCCTTTTCTGCGGCCAGTTCTATTTGTTTTTCTATCTTTGGCTTTAGGAAAACCTATGATTTTTTCAGGACTTAGAAATGAACTCGGTGGTGCTACAATGTTAGCTGTAGAAGGGAGTGGATTAATCACATTATCTGGGGAGTTATCTTTTAACGTAGGATCTAATCGATCCGTTACAGAACTAGACATAAAATCTATGTCACTAAAAACATTTCTGTCATACGGAAAAATGCCAGGCTTTCTAAATGCTGCTATGATTGTAGCTGGAGTCATAGCCCTCTGATGAGCATAATTTACACATCCGGCAATTTCATAGATAGACAGCGTTTTGCCGGGATTTTTCATCATCCAACTATCAACTGCCATGTTATAGTATGTTTTAAATGGTTTGTAAACCCCAACATCAAGAGGTTGCATCTTATTTGTTGAATGAGGAGGAAATGTAAGAATTGTCACCCCGTTTTCTTTTGCTAAATCCAAGGCTTTGATATAAAGATGACTCTCGTGGTTATCCAACAGTAATAGTGTTGGATGAGTTTTAGAGCTCTGAGTATGTTTTATGAAGTGCTGAATAACTTCAACGAAAAGTGCCTTTGTCATCCACCCCGACGGGTTAGCTAGGCCTAAGGTACCAGAAGGCGCACCAGAAATCATATGGTTTTTAAAATGGACTCTTGGAAATACCATTACAGGTGGAATAGTGTTTCCAGTAGCATTCACAATACAACAAGTTGTGACAAGCACACC